ACTGCCACCACCATTACTATGACCCCCACCATCACCATTACTATTACCAGCACCACAAACACCTGTGAATACATCTGATATCTATTATTTGACATACTGTGCTCAAATTGCACTTACAAAAAACAATGTGTCCACATGAACATGTTACAACCTTTCTTATAGTAACATATCTATTATAACTTGAGTCTTTTTGTGTACCGTTTTCAAAGGGGTCTGTAAAGGCATTGCCAATTGCCCTTAAATAAACGTGACTGAACTAACAACCAGCACCACCACCCAAACAAACATAACCATCCCAAGATGAAGTCGCGAAGGACAAAAGAACTAAAGGCAACTTACATCAGGCACGCTTTTCCCCGAGTCCAGATCTCCACTGGCGTCGCGTCTAAAAATCTTTCGCAGCTTAGTCATTGCCAGGGCAACCAGTGGCTCCTTCAGGTGACTGCTGCTGCTGCTGGTAGCACTTCCAGTACCGACAGGGGCCGACAAGGTCGAACCGCTGCTGCCACCGCCGCGTGACGTCTTTCCGCAATTAGCCGACGTAGTGGCACCTGCAGTATCTGCAGTCTGCTCCAGATCCAGCGCAGATCGACCCGCCACTAGGGCGATCAGACAGGGTCGCTCCGTGATCGACCAGAAGAGGAAGAGTTCGCCACGTTTTTCGCTGCTGTCGCTAACACAACCGAAGGAGCGCTGCGATTTGTCCCAGAAAAAGCGGTCAAAGAAGAGAACCACCTTGTTGAGCACGCCGAAACCGAGACGCTCCATTGCGGTCAGTTTCCACTCGGGCAGGGGAGGGTTGAAAAGTGGTGCGTTGGCGTAGAGTGCTTGTTGCAGTTTAGGTGGCGTTCTTGTTGCGGCAGCGTCTCTCTGTCGTCGAGCGGACTCCTTAAGCACACCCAGAGGGAAGGTGCAGATGACAGCCGCTGCTTTGTAGCTGATTGGTTCGTCTGGACTGAAGGCTGCATTCAAGCTATCCACAGTGACACCTAAGGTAAAGAATTCGATTATAAAATGTGCTCAAATAATAATACCTACTTAAATTATTAAAGTAGCATTTACCGTTTTCTGTAATAGTGATGGATTTGACGCAGGACTTGAGCTCAATCTGGCCACAGGCGCTGCTACCGGAGGGAACAAGAGTGGTAGCGTCCACTTTAAGCGCAGGTCTTTCGCCGCCATTATTAATACTACCAGAAGGTGTTGAGGGTGAAGAAGTGGGTACTGAGGAAGCAGCAGCAGCAGTCGTTACTAAGGCATCAACAATGCCACCGAAACAACCGCGGATAGCGCAGTGTGCACCAGTCAGCT